TCACGGATCTTCTTCATCGCCTTCTCGTTCCCAGCAGCCTCCTCATAGTTCTTGCAGTCGCCGTCGTGGGCCAGGTTCGCGCATCTCATGCAAATTCCCATCTCTCCCATGCACTTTTCCATTGAGACTAGGAACTCGAGTGCAGCTCTCCGCCCATCAATCACTCGCTGCTTCTTCTCTTCTTTCTCAACGTTGGGCTGAGAGCTTCGGCTCGGGTCTGGCACTTGACCAAGACCGTCGCCTTCACTCTCTGTTGCCTTCCTCTTGGATCCTTGGGTGGCATGCTCGGCCGTCAGGGATCGCGGATGTCTGGGCTTGACCGTGTTCATGATGTCCAACACTTCTTTCGCGGGCGCCCCGAGCTGGGCGGACGGTTTGTTCCGCTTTCGGTTCTGGCCCGTCGTGTGGCTCACGTTCCCGGCGAGGTGTCGTACGATTGATTGCTCGAACTCCCTCTTGATCTTCCATGCATCTTTCCATAATGGAAGCTCGTGCTGAAAGTACGACATCACCTCAAAGAAACCCAATATCATCGATGATCTTCTCGGCGGGGATTCTCTTTGCTTCGACTCCTGACGAACATCGATCTGCTTCCATGATCTTGTAGGAGTGGATATGTCGCTGAATAGCGCGGAACCTCCGCTCCCAGGTTCATCCTGTAAATCTGCGACCAAATCCATCACCGCAGGAAGAGCCATCAATCCATTGGACCCCTCTGAGCTGCTGTTCCCAAAAGTTGCAGTACTTGGGCTCGCTGAAGATGCCATTGTACGGTGTAGGTTATTGTTCCTTTATTGTCCCTGTACCCGCAATAAACCAGCTGTCTCTCTGTCCAGTGTAGAGCTTGTCGTTACGGCTGATAACCTGTCAAGAGACGGCAAGGTGACGTCCCGTGGGACGCTGTCCACCGAACCCTCCAGCTGTAAATACCAACCACGTAGAAAGGTGTATACGGTCAACCCGTGATAGCCGAACCCGTGTAACTGTTGTAAGGGAGAAGGAATAATAGTTACAACAGTGGTCCTGACAAATGCAGCGCAAGCGAAGTGCTTTCCGCTCTCAATTGCCGATCACGTATGAACGCAGCTTCACATAAGATCTTGAACCTCACTTGTGACTTGAGCCAAATGGCAATCAATGGAACCTTGTAAGCAATACAAACACGGACCTCAGAACTGCTTCCCAATTTAGGCACGGGGCCAGGAGGGTTTTAACATTTATCTACACTATCTATAACTATATATATATATATATGCACTTCTTGACGGTGGTGTTAGCAAGCCAACTCGACCAAGTTGTGATGGTTAGCTTCCTTCCATTTGCTTAAGTCCCCTGGAAAAATGAGGATTATTTCCAGTAGTGATAGATTCCCTTTAAAACCAACAGGCGAACACTTAAAAAAAAACTTAAGCAAATGGAAGATTGTATATATATATGTGTGTGTGTCTTATATATATGTGTCTTATCCATACTATATATATATAGAGACAGAGACAGAGGCAGACACAGACAGACAAGACAAACACGCAAACGCAAACACAGACACACATGACACACACCCGGACTACGCAACACTGCAGAAGTTTTGTGACCATGGGGTTATCACGTTGGAGGTTGGCAAGGATTTGAGGTGCTGTTTTGTGTCCCAGTAGAAGGTCGTTATTTAGGGGACCTGTGTGGTGGGGCGTGGGGATCTCAAGAATCACTGCAGGTGTGGGGTTGAACTTTGATGCCTATGGCAAGACAAGGGATTGGGGTAGGGTGGGCGACGCAGTTGAGTGGCACTCTCAAATGTGCCTTTGTTTTTGCGCAATGAAGCTGGCGTCTCCCCCACACACAATATCATATTTCTATGTCCTGAGTCCGTCTGCGTCTGAGTGCGTCCGCGGTACTGTCGCTTTCTTTCAAGTGGAATGCTCTCACATGGCGCTTCTCAGCCTGGGCACCCTCAAGCCCTTTCTTTGCGGCTAAAGGGTGCCCGGCAATGCTGACCCCGTATGAATCAACCCAATGAATTCGGGAGGCTTTCCCCAAATCAGAGGCCTTCTTTTTGTTATTTGTTTTTTTTTGTGTGTGGGGGGGGGGGGCTACCACAATACGCGGTCATCAAGCTTTCCATGGCTATCTATGACAATCATCTGCTTCCTGTGCCCTTCCCCTTGCTTGGTGGTTTGATGGTTAAGGCGTGGTTTCTCATGAACTCTCCACAAAAGCAAAAGTTCAAATCCCAATCCAAACCAGGTTACCTGAAACCAGACTCGCTTTGTCATGCCTCTGTTTGGGCAAAGGCCCCCCTGGAAAGAAATGAAAAAGTGCGCCATCACGTCCAGGTTGCCTCTGAAACAGCAGGGTAAAACCACCAATTGAGGGTGAACACTCTGAGCTTGACATTCGATTCGAATCGAAAGGTCCTCCACTGAAGCGCCTCAGCTCGGTCCCACTGAAGCGCGCGCCCCTTTGGGCCGCTCAACGAACCCAACCGCGAGAGCAAACCAAAAAAACATAAAGTAAACATCCCGCATCCCCCCCAAGGCTGGCACGTGGCCCCAACATAGGCAAAATAAGGTCACATCACAAAGCATTTCATAGCCTTTTGAGGTGGGGGGTTCCGGGACAACGCATTCTCCACCGAAAAGTGGGACAAAAACCATGAAAGAGACATGCGCCCTGCTTTTTCGCGGCCGAATCGGAATGCAAGCAAGGAGCTTTCTGCCAAGGCCTGCGAGCCAGCACGTAAGCCCGGAAAACTCGACGTTTTAAATGTAAACCTTGCAGTCCTTCACTGAATGAGGTAGTAGAACTTCTAGAATTCGATCAATGTTATCGGCGCCGATCGGAGTTTTGATTTTCCTTTGGAAGAGGCTAGAGAGCTTCTCGCCGGAACATGTAGTCACTGAACGGGTTCTCTGAAACGTGACTGATAGGTGGAAAGGGACAGAGTCGCCTTTGTTTCCTTTCGACACCTCTCGCACCCCAAAAAAGCACGCAAGAAGTGTACGAGCTCGTGGGCCGTTTCCGTTTCTGGTGTCACGCCGAGCTTCGAGTTTCGGATGTGCCACGTGTTGGATGCATTGGCCGCAGCGCGCGGGCTTTTTCCACTGACTTGGTGTCCTCGGTGTTCCTCTTTTTTTGGCACCCCTCAAGCTAGATGCCTGCGGCATGCCCGCCGTTGCCGGCGGTTGGACAATTCTGAGCTTCAGTCGCTTGCGTAAGTGACACTTTGGTATCTTGGCTTCGGGGCAAGTGGACTGCACCAAGAGATGTGGAACCATTTGACAGATTCCAAGCCAGCCTTCGGAAGACTTGCGAGCTTCCATGTTCCGGAGTGTGCCCCCCAAAATGGGGTCGGGCATCCCAAAGGAAACCAACGGGAAGGCACCATTTTTGAGGGGTGGTTGCAGTGGTATGCCAGTTCCTGATCCGACTGTTTAGTTTCTGAACCCCAGTCCACTCTCACTTCCTTCTCAGATTCCCGCCCTCACTCCAAGATTGGACTACCAATGATGTCAGGGTTACACTTGCGGGGAATGTCAAACATATTGTGGCCCTTGGACCTTCTCTCGACGCCTGTTTGGCGGGGAACCCAGGGATCCTTACATTATACACCTGAACAGTGCCTTGTAAATGGTGGTTTCCCTTTATTTTGGTGTTGAAAAAGCCATGTTTCAACTGGTGGCAAAATGGAGATCTTTTGAGCCCTGGAACCCGACCCGAGAATACGGGGGGGTCACTCCGAAAGCGATGAGCCGGACACCCCGCAATCAAAAATCCACCGGAAATGCCCCGAAGTGCGTCTTCTCAAAATGGGGTCAACATTGCCAAAACGAGGGGAAAAGGCCCTTCGGCAACCTTGGGTGTCTTTCTAGGAGTACCTTCCATTTCCATTCTTTCCAAACCTCCCTGGAAACCCAGGGAAAACGGCCGGTTTTTGGCAAGAACGGTGGCTAAAAAGAATGGCAGGAATCAAACCCTAGCAATATGCAGTCATCAAGCTTTCCATGGTGGGAGGGATATCTCAGTAGGGGAACCCTCCCAACCAAAAAAGGGGTGAGAAAGGGCACTTTTGGGGGACCCAGTTGCCAAAACGGGGGGGGCAACCTTGGGTGTCTTGCTCCGGCCTCACGCTCCAGGTGCACCTCCTGTTCGCTCAAATCTGTCTCCAGCTCGTCACTTGCCTCCTCCTCACACCTGTGTTCGCGCCAAAAAGTCTGCAACTGACTGACTTTGGGCATGGCCCTTTGAATTTTGGAACGTTTTCTGTTGTTTGTTGGTTTTGTTTTAAAAACAAAGTGCCAAGGGCAAAACCAAAAAGCACAACATGTTTACCCCAAAAGACACGACGTAGATCCGGGAAAACAAGGACTGCGCCCCAGATCTCACGCGAGAGCGTGGACCCGGTGCCAATCTCAAGATACCCAGTGACCATGGAAAAAAGGGCATCCCATTTTTTGTGGTTGGTTGACTTTAAAGGGGAACCCTTCCCAAAAAAGAAAACAAAGGCACGACTGGGCAACTGGGCAACAATGGAAGCGAACACTTCGGGTTCCCCAAAAGTTCCAAAACGCTCCGATCGTCAGATTCCATGCTTCTTGGAGGGAGGGCATGTTCAAAATGGCATGAATTGTATGCATCATTCAACACACACCGTCGGGGGTGATACAATTAATTGATGAAATCGATGCCACCGGTGGTTCGTAGCAGCCCCCTTTGAGCAAGAACTCAACTAGAAACGAGCACCGCATCCCCTTTCCCGACAAAGAGGGTGGAGGCCCCCCATCCTTCCGTCTATGCGCAGACCAGGGGCTTTGCGTTCAGAAAGCGCAGCAAGGTAGCAGCCCTAGGCACGTGAGGTGACATGGGCCATACCTTTGCTCCAGGGTTTGATTCCCCGTTCTTTTTAACCATCGTTCTTCTCAAAAACCAGCTGTTTCCCTCTGGTTTTTGATGGTTTCCTGAAAAGAAGGATTCCTGAAAAGAATTGGGAAGCTTCCCCTAGATTTTCACGCGCTGGGCCGCACGACTCGATGAAAGGTCCCCACAGGCTCCTCCCGAAACCCTGTCTTGGACACAAGCTCAGCTCGTTTGTCGTTTTGTGCACTGGCTGGATCAGGGCGGGATGTCAAGAAGAGACAAAGAGAAGCTTCAAAAAAAACAGACACCCTATCCTAGAAGCTTCCCCGCGCTCCGCGGAGCAAGCCAACTCAACCAAGTTGTGATGTTTAGCTTCCTTCCATTTGGTTAAGCCCCCTGTAAAGAATAACAAACACTTCCAGTAGTGATAGATTCCATTGTTTTATGTTCCCTTATTGGCTTTAAACCAACAAGGGATTGTTTTTGTTTGCTTTGTTTAAATATTCTTAACCAAATGGTAGCTTCTGGTGCATACTTGATTTTCAACGTTGGTTCAATCGGCCCCTGGTAGTCACTCGGCTATGGCTCCCCTTTCCGTGCCTCTAGATCAGTATAAATATAAAATGACGTGTTCCCTTGGCTGTCCCTTCAACAAGAGGGGTAACAAGTCCAAAACAAGCACACCCAAGCTCGGTTGCTTTCTGCTCCCCTTCTAAAAATTAATAACTTTTAGTGGTTTCATACGGAAAACCCACTAGGTTGGCAAAGATTGTTCAGTCCTAACATCTGTTGGCAACATGCACCAAAGGAAAAATATGTGTATACATATATATATATATATAACCCCCCCCAAAAAAAAATGAAAAGAAAAAAAGACAAAAAACAACACAAAGAGGGTGGTGTTCCCTTGGCTGTCCCTTCAACCAGAGGTGCCACACCCAAAGCCTCCCTCCCTCGCCAGGCGTCTCAGCGGCATGCACCGTGATGTTGTAGCTGCGCAGCGCCTCAGCTGGTCAGCTGCTTCGGCTCGCGGTTTCCAGGGGCCCGGAGCTTGGCTCAGATCCCCTCCATTTCGGAGAAAAAAGGGTATGCATAGGTGAGAAAAAAGGGTATCCATAGGTGGCCTGGTGGAAAAATAGATAGGTTTTAATGGTAAATGGGGCAGAAAACCCCATCAAAACCAGTGGAACCCATCTGTTTCTATGCAAACTCACCTAAAATGGACACCTATGAGAGTGAAGCGGAAGCTAACACTAAACACAAAAAGGCCAACAAGCTAAGGGGCTGGCTGGGAGCCACAAGTTATGGTTGGTTGACTTTAAAGGGGAACCCTTCCCCAAAAAAGTTGAAACAAGGACACCACTGGGCAACTGGCTTGGGAAATTGGCAAGAATCAATTCCCCCAAAGGACCTGGAAATAAAAGGTCAACCTTGGTACCTTGACTAAAAACTGGGTACCAAAAAAGGAACACCGAAAGGTCAAATCGATCAGTCGATTCACTTTGGCAAAGTGAGAAAACCGGGAATTTGAGAAACACCCAGTTGGGTGTGCAGGGTTTTCAGGTGTTCTTCCAAGGAAAACCACCAGGAAACCACTCGCTTCCAGGGTCCCAATCCCTTTTTTGAGTGATGGAACGCCAATTGTCGATCTTTGCGAGTTTGGTCGTTTTGAGGCGCAATCTCGCTCGCAATCAACTTAAAAACCTGGACAGGGGTCCCCAACTGGGGTTTCCAGGCTTTACGTTTTCCAGTGATTCCATACCCCTGGTGTTGTTGACTTGTAGGGAACCAGAGAACCGGCCTTTGAAAACCAAGGAGAAAATGGCTGGCTACCTACTATATATAGGTCACTGGGATCCACCCTGGCACGTATGCCGGCTTCCCCTTCGGGGTTCGCCGATTCCATTTATCCCATCTAGTCGACAAAGCGGAAATGGATTGCCAACCAGTGGACAGCTCCCTTCCCCCAACTCCCATTTTTTATCGGAAACCCGGTGATCTCCCCCGAAACCACCGGGCTTCAGATGCGGTCCCAAAAGCGGCAGTGAACTCATCCACTGAAATGATTCCTCGGCGAGACGGGCCATGGGGTTTTGGGCTTGGATGTTGAACTCATGGGGGCTGGGGGGGAGGGAGAGAGAGCCCGAAAAGGCCCTAAATAAGGCCTTATTACGCTTATCAACGGCCTGATCAACCAACCTAGCAAGTAATGTTGACCCCATATTGATCAGCCCCAGTTTATTGATAGGGGGATGCTTTCAGGGTGTGGGAACTCATGACTTTTGGAGGGGAACATCCCCTAGTACGAAACTAGGGTTGATCAATATTACCCAACCAGCATGCACCACCATTCCCGGGGGGGTTGTCACTCCAGGTTGTCCTAAGTGGTGCAGGATTTCACCCATCCCCAGTAGGTTAGCACACACTTGGAGATTCAATAGAAAGTGGGTAAGCCACAATTGGATGCGCGAAAAACAACAGTACAGTACTCACTACAGGAACTACCAATGGGTATAAGTGTGGAAACAAACCGGGGCTTTCTTACAACATGGTTACAACCGACTTACTAAGTTGATTGAACATCCGAGGGACCCTTGGTGAATCCCACGATTCAGGTATAGGACCAGGGCTCCAAGATTTGGATGCAGACAATCATGGATATTGGATCCAGAAACTAGAGACTTAAAATTAAAAGCAGATGTCTCAATTCAGTCTAAAAAGTACCATCTGCTTGAGCACGCCTGTATGCGGCATCAAACAACAAGAACAAACATGGAGGTTACTGGGGGGTGTAGTGCAGGTGTATCTCTTTATATACACTTATATGAACAAACAAATATGTACACAAACTGCATTTCTTCGTGTGACGCACTGCGTCGCTGTTCTCTTCCCTGGCAAATCCATAGCACCATGGTGCATGGAAATTCCTGAAGTCAGTTCTGCCTGGAAAACAAGCCCGTCGCCTCTTGATGAGAACCAAACAGCAAATACGCGACGCACATGAATTGCAATCCCCCGTCTTCCAATTCCATTTCTACTGGGGATGAGCTGGCCAGAGGGTTAAACCACTTTCCAGTGGCAAACGGAAGGTCCTTCAGCAGGAGCTGCTAAAGATCCCCAGTCCAAACCAGCAAAGACATGCGTCAACGTGCTGGAGAGTTTTCAACTCAATTCCAGAGTTGATGGTTTTAAAAGCGTCTAAACTTTTTGTGTGCCACTAAAATGGTCTTCTCAAAAAGTGGCTGTGTCCATTCTAGTGGGGATTGGGATGTTCACTGGGGGTACGGTTTGGATTTTTGGATCTTAACCCATGGCCGAGTGAGTTTCTTGTGGCCTCAGCTTCTCGCATCTTTTGGGGGCTCGGAATGTTTTTGCCATGCCGCCATCCTCGTTCATGTCAAACTGGTCGAAGGCGGTCGCAAAGACAACGCCTGAGGGACACAGACCGGCTCTTCCATTTGCTGAAGCCCCCTGGAGAAAAAGAACATATTTCCAATAGTGATAGATTCCCCTGAAAACCAACAGGGCAAACAAAAAAGACATAAATATTCTTAAGCAAATGGAAGGGCTCGTTCCAAAACCTGGCCAACACCGGGCGGCCAAATCACACAGTCTCTCGGAGTGTAAATTTAAAAGCAAGCATCACAAGGAGTGTATTAGCCAGGGGAAACGGTGTTATTGGGCATACCCTACTTGTCATGCTGCAGCACCGCCTTTTCTGCGGTGCTCGCTTGGTCAAAATTCGCACGGGAAAGCGCGCTCTGTATGCGGCTCGTCACATGGCTCTTCTCCTTTGCGGGGAACCCCTTGGTGGCGTTCAATGGAGCCGCAGTCAACCGATTTATGCTACATCTCGGCAAAAACATCTGACACCCTGACTCTTGTGGCCTAAGCCAACAATGCCAACTCAACTAGGGAGAAACGCATGCAAGCCAAACATGCACAGCAGTCGAATAAATCTTGCTAGGGTACCTTTTCGCGGACATCAACTAGGCGGGGGTTATGTCCCCCAACCATTTGTGAGGTCGGCGGTCCCCCATTAAAATCCATAACCACCTGAAATTGCAAGGAGCATGTACGAGGTTTTGCTGCAGATTGGTTGTGGTTGTTGGGTGGCTGCACGCAATTCCCCCGGCAGCCACACGCATATTCGCTCTCCACATCGGAACCATGTCTTTTTGAAGCAAACACGGATGCGAGCCACAATTCGGAAACTTTCAGTCACGTAGAGTCCTCTAACCTATCTGCCCAGCTTGCGATGCTCAACCGGGTTACTGCGACTTTTATACATCGAATACTCTTTTAGGGGTCAATGATGGGCCAGAATGATCCGGCCGATTCAAACCTTCGGAAATCTGTGGGGCCCATGTGTGTTGAAAAGCCTCCGTTCCGAAAACCAACGGTGAATCTGCCAATCCCTCCAACATGGCCAGCTACAACCCCTTCCACTTGGCAGTGATTCCTTTTTTGCAGTTGGTACCCCCCTCTCCTTCTGCCGTGCTTCTTTTTGGGGAAATTACTTCCTTCTGGCAAAGAGGAACCAAAAAAGGAACCAAAAAAAGGAATTACTTTCTTTCTTCCTTCTTTTTGGCTAGGTTTCAAAGGAAACCCCACAAAAAGCAACCCTTGCAAGCCTCAAAGAAGCCCCACAAAAGGGTTTTTTGCTCCCCGCGCCGTTTTTTCCGAAAGCAACCCTTGAGGTTTCAAATTTAAAAAAAAGCAACCCCTTCTTTCTGGGGCTTCAAAAAGAAAACCCACAAAGGGGAACTCCCCCCGGCGCCTTTTCCCTCCCGGCGCCCCGGAGAAAAAAAGAAGCTCCGAGGCGCGCAGCTGGGACAAGGTGAGCTCTCTGGAGCTCAGCGCGGACAGCAGCTCGCGCACCACCGCCTCCGGAAAAGAGAAATCCCGCGCCCCGAGGAAAAAAAATCGAAGCCAGGTTTTGTTTGATTAGTTTTTTTTTTTTGTTAAACGGGACCTCCCCCCCAAAAAAAAGAAGAAAGAAGTATTTGTCCACCACAAAAAGGGGTAGCAAAAAGATGGAAAAAAACAAAACTGCAAAAGCTCGGTGTGTTTTGCTATGCTTTTCTGGGTTTTACCAGAAACTCGTTTTTTTGGGGGCCCCAACAAGAAGAACATGTCCGGCGCCCTGCGAGAAAAAAACATCGCCACGAGGGCGTGTTTTGTTTTTAAGGGACCCCCCCCAAACAAAAGAACATGTATTTGTGCACCAAAAAAAGGGGGGACCAAAACGGGGCTCCAAAAAAAAAACTCCGGAGCCCCGCAAACTCGAGGTGTTTTGCTATTATTTTCTGGATTTTACAAAGTTTCGCCACGTAGGTATGGGTACTCATGTTGACAAAAGGCGATCACCTTTTGCGACCCTTACTAAAACTGGACAAAGATTTGAAAAATTGTCAAAAGGTCGGCTTTGGACAACTGAGACATGGGTATGGATGCTAAGCTGCGAAACCAGTTTTCGACTTTTTAGGAGATCCAAGGGGAAAACCCAGTTTGGCTATGGCTCACAAAAAAACTCGGGCCCCAAAGGCACCCGGATCTAGTTTTTTCTTGGTTCCATGAGGATTCCTCTGATTTTCGTCATGTTGAGCCTTGCCAGTTCCATGACGGTATGGGTCACAGTTAAACCACTAGCAACTGGACAGCTCTAGTCTATGTTGCCATTTGCCAGGGCAAACCATTTTGGTACCTATGATTGACACACACCCACATCCCGGCGTCTGAAGCGATGTTTTGACCCATACCCAAACTGGGCTTTTCCCCTTCGATCCCCCCAAAGTCGAAAACCTTTAGTGGTTTAGTGGTGAAACTGCCACTAAACCAAGTAAACAGCTAAAAGCACCAAGTAAAGGGAGAGCCCAAATCAGTCATGACATCAAACCCTGTATGAACATGGCCTGTCCAGAACCATGCACAAAATTTTAGCCAAAGGCTGCTGCACCCGTTGACTCTTGGTTCTAATACGTTGGTTCCTTCGAGGGTAGACCCTATAAAACGCCAAGTTGTAGTAGACCCAGCTGCTAGAGTTGCCCAGTTGGGTTTCGGGTTCAAACCACGTTTAGGGCTGGCCCACCCACCTGCAAAAAAAGGGGGGTTCGCAAAGAACACCAGGCAACCGGGGAATCCCAAGGCTGTTGAACCGTTCAAACCCCCTGGAAATCGAACTGCATCCCGTAAAAGCAACGTCCCCCTTAAACATCAAATCCGCAAGGAAGCCTCATTCAAGTCTTGAAACTTGCCACAACTCCAGGGACGAATATGAACAAGGGGCAACGATCATTACTTAAAGTGGCTTCAACGACCCCAACAACCTCATTCAAGCTATCGATGGACTTATGACTACGTCATCCCCAGTTTATTAATAGGGGCAACCCAAACCCAGTTTATTTATAGCGGGTGTCTCTGGGTTTAGTAGGGCTTCAACACTTTTGGAAGGGAACACCCCCAAAAATCAGAAACTGGGGTTGATTAATCTGGGGTCAACATTAAGAGCGCTATTGCTTCAAAGGTGTCATTAAGCTTCTTACGGTTGATTTCAAGAACACGCAAGAGTCTTCGTCGCACTCTTGGGCGTTCGCAACATAGGGTGACGTAGAAGGTTCCCCTCGCTTGGCTGAGTGGGCGGAAACGCTTCTCCATTCTTGCTCGTCAAGGTCAACATGAAAGATGAAGAACAAAAAAAAACAAAAAACAAAAAGGTAGAAAGGAGAAAGGATAACACAAAGAAAGCAATAAGGCCTCTGTGTTGAAGCTTGTCTGCCAAGTGGCCGCGAAAGCTTGTCCATTGAGCTCCTCCTTCCCATTCTTGCTGATCATGTTGTAAATGCGCACTGCGTCGCTCTCCTCTCCAGCTTTTTTGATGCGTATCAAGCAATTGGGACCTTCGAAAGGGTCCTTCATTAACGTTCCCTTCATCAGCCGTCTGCCCAAAGGACCCAGCAATAAAGAAGCATGACTCAAAACAGACCAACAAGGGGCAACCAAAAGGTCAGATCAGGTCAATTCGCCTTGGGCAAGTGAAGAGTAGTTCTGACAGCAAGCTGAGAAACAAGCAGATGCCCCGCAATCCACGACCCGAGCGTGGATTGCGAATGCTGCCGCGGCTCCTGAAACCCCACCTCAGCTTCAGAGAAGCTACAGCCACATCCACACCGAGCGCCTACAAATACTGTGGATGGACGAAAAAACCTGGAATGTTCCCCTGCAAGTACCAAGAAACAACGCCTTCCCATGGTTTCAAAGTGGTGCGAAATGGATTTCGTCCATCCACAGTGTTGCTCTAATTCCAAAACCTTGACATTCGGGATACCCTTCAGATCATGGACCGCATGGGTGGGGGGGAGGTGGTGGGGGGGAGGAAGGGGAATCTACCCACCGCACCAAGAACCTTTCTGCCAGGAGGGGCCTGATGCGAATTCTCCTTACGTCAGCCACGTCCCCAGCCCAAGCATGATGAAGCGCGCAAGCTTCCAGAGATGCCTCCTGCCTTAAGGGCACCGGGATTGGAGGGTCCGGGACCCAATTCCATGGATTCTAGCCTTCCCCAAAGGGAAGATGCAAAAACATAAATGGAGATCTCCAGGCTCGTTTCCTCCCCCCTTCCCCTTTTTTCCATTTGGGGGTGGGAATGCCTGTAGGGGGTTTGCCAAGTAGCAAGCCGTGCGCCAGCTCGCCCGCCTCGAGCCGAGGCCCCGGCGTGGTAGCGAGCGTTCAGCTCCCGGACTGCCTGCTTCGCGCCAAACGTGATGCAGATTCCCCGGAGTGGGCAACCAAGGGCGTGCCAGCCTTTAAACATCAAGTAAACATATGGAGCCAAGGACCCAAAAGTAAATCAGCAAAATAGAAAAGAAAGCAACCAACAAGCACAAGAAGTAAGAAGTAAAAGCAAAAAAGTAAAACATTTCAAGAAGAACATGGTGAAGGCTTACCCACTATTATAGGTAACTGGGATCCACTGGGGTTGGTGACCTTCCATTTGCTTTGTCGCTCCCTGGCAAAAATCAACATATTTCCCGTAGTGGTGGAGCCCCCCTTCAAAACCAACAAGGGAACATGACAAAATATTCCTTTCGCATCAGGGCTTGATACGTGCCTAGGGGGTGTCCATGCTTTTGTTTCGGGTTTTGCTGAGTTTATTGGCCAGAATGAACAAGTCCAAACTTGTTCGGCCTTGACTCTCATGAAGAAACCTGCCAAGGTACTCGATGTGGAAGTTTTAAGTCGCACACTTCCATGTCCACTGGAAAAAGAATAAACATATTTCCAGTAGTGACGGATTCCCTTTAAAACCAGAAGAGGAAATAACAAGCTATGTATTATTAAGCAACTGGAAGTTACGCATTTGTTAAGATCCCGTTTATATGGAGGGAAACCACCTGGTTGCTTTGTTTGGGCAACGGGCAGGCCGAGAAATAACTGGCAAATGGAAGCGCAAGCTTTCCTACAAATTTGGCAGCTCGTCACTGCGAGCTGCCCTCTGCCAAGCTTCAGCGCGAGTCGGCCGAAGTGATTGCCCCGAGACTTCAGAAAAAGAAAAATGTTGACCTTTAGCTTGTTGGACTGTTTAGGAAACATAGATGGCCCTGGTAGTTGATTGAACCACCAGGCAAACCAGAAACCAGGGCCCTCTATTTTTCAACCAAATCAACCGAAAAGGACACCTATGATCGTCCAGTAGACCAGAGAACTCTAGAAAGGGGAAGTCTCCTGAAACTTTAAAGTAAGAACCACTTCTAGGTCCAGTAGAGAGGTTGGAATAAGGGTACCGTTTCTTTTTTCTGTAGTCTATCTTTAGTAGAGAAACCCTCCCCCAAAAAAGGGTAACAGGGGACTACTGGCTAGAAAATAAGAGTCAACCTTTAGCTTGTTGGAAGGGAAATGCAGGAAAACCAGGGGCAAAAGGGTTCCACACGTTTGGATTTCTTTGCGCGGCTGTGCCGGCTGTGTGGCACGACTTCTCTTCTCTCAGTTGAGCGTGGGCGATTCGCCCTGTGGTTGTACCCACGAAATCCAGGCGGGAACCTTGAATCCCCCTGCCGTAAGAGGAGGGGGGTGGGAGTCGCCCAATTCCAGTTTCTATTCTTCAAAAAAAAAGAGAGGAAAATGGAACCATAAATGGAATTCTACGGGTGACCCCCTTCCCCAATTCCATCTTAAAAGGGGTGGGGATAACATTGGTTTACATCGTTTGAGAGAATGCAGGTCGGAAGTATGAGACAAAGCGGCCAGCTGCCTGACCATCCATTGCCAAGACTTCCCGGGCCCCTTCGTCAAGACGTTCAACGAGGTCCAATTTTCAATCAAGGGCAAGCAGGCCCTAACGACTTGGTCGGTGTTCTGTTGTTCACCAGCCATGGGCGCCTGAACACTTCAGCGGCAGTATGGCTGTGAACTACTGTTTTGAAACGACCCCAAAGAGAAACACAAGCTAAGGGCCCTGAACCAATGTGCCAAACACACACACACACCAAAATAGAACAACAACATCTGTACTAAAGAAAAAGAAAAAAAACATATGGAGAGAAAAGAAAAGAACAGCTCCCACGCTTGACGGCGAGGCAGAACCTCGCCTCAGCCATGGCCTCGCGATCGGTGCCTGGAGCCGGGGATGGTTTCCCTTCGGTTCACAAAAACCTCCGACCCAGTCTTGACAGTAACTTCTCATGAAGAAACTTCTTCGGTTCTCAAGAACTTCTTCGGCCTTGACTCTCATGAGGAAACCTGGCAAGGTACTCGATGTGTAAGTTTTAAGTCGCACACTTCCATTTGCGTTTTCGTCCCCTGGGAAAAATATGTCCAGTAGTGAAATTGATTCCCTTTTCAACCAACAGCGGAAAATAAACAATATTCTTAACCAAATGGAAGCAGTCTCCTGGTTGCTGGCGAGACCCCTCTGCAAAAAATGTTTCTCACTTTTTGGGGGTTTAGTGGAACCCCCAACTTGATTTCAACCAAAAAGTTAAAGTCTAAAGATCCAACCCAATAGCAGTCAAGCAGTGGGCTGGCCAAACAAGCGAACGCTCCAACTCAATTCCTGAGTGGGTGGGCCCAAACAAGTCCAAAAAGAAACACTCCGCCACCAAAATGGCCCAAACCCAAAAAGTGGCTAAAGTCCATTGAACTCGCTGAGAGTGAGCATCCAAAAAACACTTCTCATGCCCAACATATTGCAAGGAACCCGGGAAACCACCGGTAAATTCAACCATGGTTTGTGGTTGGCTTGAAACATGGCGCATCCACCGCGCTCCGAAAAACCGTCACACAGGTTCTTCTCGTTTGGTGTCTTTTGAATCTCCCTTTGTCGACGACGGGGTTCCACCAAGATGTTCCGACACGCACATGGAAGCTACCGTATGCGTTCGGGGCCGCCAGGACCACACGTGCCACTGCCACTCGGCCGCTCAGAACTAAGGCCCAAGCGCGTCTTCACTGAAGACACCATGAAAAGCCTGGCGCAACCGATGGTCATTTTTGGGCCAACCTCCCAAAAGACATGTGGGATGAACCGAACAAGAAACAAACAGCAAACCGCAAAAACAAACAACGACATACACCAAACCACAAACCACAAACAACAGACAGCAAACAGCAAACTGCAACGAGCAACGAACAACAAACAACTAGCAACCAACAACCAATGTCCAATAACAAAGAGCCAAGAACAAATTGATAACCACAACCACCAACAGCACCAACAGCACCAACCACCACCACCACCACCAGCAGCAGCAACAACAACAAGAAGAACGAGAAGCAACATACAACACACACACACACACAATACAACATACAACAAACATAAAACAGCAAGCAACCAACCAACCAACCAACCAACCAACCAACCAACCAACCAACCAACCAACCGACAAACAAACAAACAAACAAACAAACAAACAAACAAACAAACAAACAAAACAAACACAGAAACAAAGAAAGAACACAAAACACAACACAACAAAACAAGACACGACTAACAAACAAAACACAACTAACAAACAAAACACCGCTAAAAAACGAAACACAACTAACAAACAAAACAAACACAACTAACAAGCAAAACAAACCAAAACAAAACTGACAAACAAGACACGACTAACAACCAAAACACGACTAACAAAACAACACGCAACTAATTTAGACCAAAACTTAGCCTCTATCTCTGTGGAGGTTAAAACCGGCCAATAGTCATGTAACAAACCACGTCACTCTTCATGTACGTATTCATGTAAACAAAAACAGGCCTAAAGAAACACGTAAAAGATCATGTAAACAATGCGTGCCTCAGTGTTGGAAGCTGGAAGCTGCATCATTTGCCATGTAACAGGCCTGAACAGAGATAAAAGGCGCATAATCAGACAAGCCAATGGCAAAATATTGGCAAGAAGAAGGTAAGGCTCCAACGCGCCCCTCCCATCTCCGCGCCCAAGGTGTTGATTGAATGATCTTTGCTAAATCCTTAGCAGCTACCACAGAAATGTGAGGAGGCCAAACATCTTAAGTCTTAAACACGTGGTTGGTAAGCCGAAGCATGCGTGAGCAGAAGCAAGAGCAATTCCTGAGCATGCAGTTGCAATCTTCGGAATGGTTCCTAGGTACGCAGCTCCAATGTCTCCGAACGGTTCAGAACGGTTCAGGGTATGATGCTGCAATCCATCCTGAACGGTTCAGCACAGTTCAGGGCATGCTGCTTGCAATTCTTCCTGAACGGTTCAGAACGGTTCAGGGTATGCTGCGGTTCAGAACGGTTCATAGTATGATGCTGCAATCCCTCCTGAACGGTTCAGAACGGTTCTTGAGGCACGAACGGTTCAGAACGGTTCAGAACGGTTCTGAACTATACGCCTGCTCTGTGCGCTGATTGCTAGACGGGCTCCAGAACGGTTCAGAACGGTTCAGGGGCATGGGTTCCAATGCCCCCGGAACGGTTCAGAACGGTTCAGGGGCACGCGTTTCAATGCCTCCGGAACGGTTCAGAACGGTTCAGGGGCATGCAGTTTGGTTGCCACCGTTCCTCGGAACGGTTCGTGAGCCTGGCGGTTCCTAGTCCTAGGTCAAAGGTCAGGCCGGCATCGGAACATCGAAAGCGATCCGAAATCTCAAAGCACAAAAAGGCAAAGAGCTGTCTGAAATTTACGCGAAAACTTACGCAAACATTTACGCAGAAAAAGGCTGGCTGAACCGTTCTGAACCGTTCAGGGGACATATTTTGAGCATAGAGGTCCGCAGAACTTGCGTGCACATGTGACAGCATCGATCGCTCCTCTTTTCCGGCCTTTGCTCAACTGGATTTCTGGGATCGGTTCTTGGATTCCCTGGGTCTTGCGGACTAACGAGGCGAAGCCGCGGCAGAGAAACAAAAACAACGCCCGACAGCACCACAACGCGGCAAGCAAAGCTGCAAGAAGGCAAGGCTTAATCGTCCTTTGACTGGTTGGATCAGTGGCCACGCGGAGACAACCGCGTGAAGAGTCGTGTGCATGTGTGTTTGTGTGTGTGGGTGGTGTCTGTGTGTCTGTGCGCCAGGTGCATGTTAGGAATATAGACGCCCGTTCATCTTGATGTTCTTCAAGATTGGCCCTCGCAAGGTCGCCCAACAATAAGCTGACTAAGTCTTGATTGTTGGAAAGAGCCCTCAATTATTCTCAATGTTGTTCACGCAGCTGACATAACCAATGACCGGACATACCGGACGTTCTATGACAAGACGCAGTGTTCCTAGTCCTCGGTTCCTACAGCATCTCCTTTCTCACGATCACTAAACACACCTGTATCTTGGCGGGGTTCTGGCTGCCGGGTGTTAGCAAGGCAACGCAACCCAAGCGCAAGCATGGGCGCACGTGCTTTTGCGTCCGGAGCTTTTTTGCTTTGCCAACGACACACATGCTCGCGAGCAAAAAGACATGTGGCTCGCAGCTACCAGTACGCATGAACATTCATGTCAAAGATGTCGCGGCTCTTCCAATGGTTCATGACTCATGATGCTTTGCCTTCCTTCAGTGATGTGAGCAGGTGAAATTTGCGAAGGGGAAGGTTCTCGTCAATACATATCCCTGTCCATGAGGGACACTAAGTCCAGCTCACGCATGGTCACTCAAGATCGGGCAAGCGAAAATGAATTACAACTATTTACCTCACCATTTACCATATCATTTACGGACTCTTTCTATTAAGGGCCAGGCCAACCAGAAAGCTTGATTTATTTACGTGATTGTTTACGCTTTTATTTTCGGGTACGGCGAAAACGACAGACCCCCCCTGTTTATAGAGGCTAAGTTTGGTTTAACAACTAATAAACAAAACACAACTAAAACCAACGAAACTCAACTAACAAACAAAACAAACCAAAACAACAAAACAATCACAACTAACAGACAAAACAAACCAAAACAAAACTCACAAACAAAACACAACTAACAACCAAAAAACACACACACACACACAACAAGAAAAAAGACGCCATATGGCATGTAACGCGCCGCATTTTTTTTCGGCACCGGCCAACTCGGGCCCCGCCTGCTCAGGTTCAGCAGGGTCGGGAGAGGCTCAGCCGACTCGCTTGACCTGTCGCCGCGTCGCTCGTCGTTGGAACACCCGTCAGCAGACCAAACGGGAACACGGGCCGGCTAAGGTGGAACCATGGCACCTTTAACAGTCATTCAAGGCCTCCAAAGGCTTCAACAGGGACCCTTACATTATAAACATAGCAGGGATCCAGTCTAGGGCCCTTTTATTACACCCTGGGACTACGCCCTAGGGAAATTACCAACCAAAAGAACATGACCAGGTTTATCTTGAAATAGGCGAAACTAGGGTGATTTAGCAGGGATCCGGATGCATTATACACCTGAACATTGCAACTTGTCAATGGCGGTTTCCATTTTTTTGGTGTTGAAAAAGCAACATGTTTCAAAGGCAAAATGTATCTTTTATGGAAACTCATCTTGCAACCATGAGCTCCACCCTGATCCCGCAAAGCAACATGTATAGAACTTCCATTTGGTTAAGACCCTGGAAAAATAAAAGTATTTCCAGTAGTGATAGATTCCCTTTAAAACCAACAGGGGACAACAAAAAATATTCTGAAGCATAGGTGTCCTTTTAGGGGCGAACAATTAGATGGGTTTCCCTGGTAGATGAGGAAGAACCACCAGGTAAAGCAGGGAAACCCATCGATTTCTCGACCAAAACACAAAAGAAAGGACACCTATGTATACAAACATGAGTTCCACCCTGAACCCGCAAAGCAACATGCATGAAGAACTTCCATTTGGTTAAGACCCCTGGAAAAAAATGAACATATTTCCAGTAGTGATAGATTCCCTGTCAAACAAACAGGGGACAATCAAAACAATCTTAAGCAAATGGAAGAGAAGGGCCCCTTCTTAAACGTGCCAGCGTGCGCGCATTGCTTGAGATCCATGTCCGTACTTCAGAAAACCCAGTGTAGGCCGACCAAGTGCGGCCTATCCATGAACACAACCCCGTCAGCGACCCCAACACCCCCCGCCCATTAGCCGCAACCATCGCACACACTTGTCCATGGGTCAAAATCCATGACCCCCCCAGTGAACATCCCAACTCCCACTAAAATAGACTAAAATGGGTGGTGCATCTACCCCAAATGACCACAACGGCTTTGACCCACAGCCACTTGGCCTCCCGATACTTAAGAATGGGGATCATTCCCAACTCCGCGCAGGTTCATAACTCACTTGATCCCCCCTACCATAAGCGCCATAAGGGGGAGAGGGGTGGGGACCCGGTCCCCAATTCCAGTTATCTAGTCTTCCCCTTACAAAGGAAATGGAACCATAAATGGAATTGCAGGGGTCACCCCCCTCCCCCAATTCCAGATTTAAGGGGGTGGGGATCTCGCTTGCCCAAAGGGGTTGGAAATAAAAGGTGAAGCTTGTGGGACCTTGGCCAAACATTTGCCAAAGGAAAACCAAAAGGTCAAAGGTCGATTCGCCTTGGCAAGTGGGGGCTCTCCGTTCACTCGGTTGGGCCAACCACCTTTCTTGTCTGTTTGGATGCGTTTAAGCCACTACTGTTCAACAAAGCAACTCCTTTGTGCCTTAAGCAGGCAGGCCTTGTTGGAACAAATGTGGCCCAACCCGGCTCTGTTGAGGTCAGGCAGAAAGAAATTGCGGCAGCGGGAGCCGAATCGACTCCGCAAGTGCACAGGGTCACTGGAATTCCGCAAAGGTTGCATTTGACTTGTGGTTTCCACTGAAACTGCAACTTTTCAAGGTCCAAAGAAGGGGAAATGGAGTGACCCCCGTGGGCCGTTGGCCAAATCTCAAGTCTAATGTGAGAGGGGTGTTCTTTGAGGTTGGACCGGTTGGCTCTGATGGGAAGCTGGCGACACAACGAAGCGAAGGGCTGGACATGACTGGCCGCCCCCCTTTGCATTACCAAAGGATCTGGGCAAGGTATAACACTCAGCTGTTCAGTGGCCCTGGAAAAAAGGGAACCCTTTTTGGGGAATGCAATTTCTATTGGGGCAGCCACCAAAAACCTTACTATACCTCACTTCCTCAGTGGACTGGCAACAAAACAAGTCCAAACTTATCATTTACCACTAATACTGTATGGTCCAGTCCAGGCACTCGGGAAGTGAGATACTCCCTCTAAAACAACGGCGAGATGCTGCTGAGTACATGTTTACCTTCCATTTGCTTAAGTGACCTAGCAAAAAAAATATGCCCAGTGGTGATAGGTTCCCTTTAAAACCAACAGGGGAAAATAACAATGTAATATCCTTTAGCAAATGAACGTTATTCTATTGCTAGCCCACGAAGATCCGCAAATCCTGAGGGGGTGCCAGCAAGAAGTTGGATGTCAACAAATGGGATGCGGAGTTCCCTTGATCATCTTCACAACCCTTGGTATGGGCTGGCCAAAAAAGTGTTTGCTTTTGCAGCCCCCGAACCTAGAAATGAACAGAACCAATAACAAAAAAAACTACGACAATTGCCAAGAACAGTGAAGTGATGGGTGTGTCTTAGTACTCAACAACTGGGCTCCAGTAGAGAGGCTAGTATAAGGGTACCCTTTATTCTCTAGTCTATTGTGGTAGGGGAACCCTCCCAACCAAAAAAGTTGGTGAGAAAGGGCACCTAGCGGGGGGACCTAGGAAAAAAGTCACTAAAGTCCGGTTTACGGAACTTCTTTTGGGGCAAATCGATGGGTTTCCCTGGTAGATGAGGAAAAACCACCAGATAAACCAGGGAAACCCACCGATTCTTCGACCAAAACAACCCAAAACAGGACGCCTGTGGTACTTAGTAAGTGGTTCGTAAACCTGGTTATAACCCACAAAAGCCGGGGATATAGCATTAAAAAAACACACACACACACACACACAAACACAAACACAAACACAAACACAAACACAAACACAAACACAAACACAAACACAAACACACACACACACAAACACACAAACACACAAACACACAAACACACAAACACACAAACACACAAACACACAAACACACAAACACACAAACACACAAACACACAAACACACAAACACACAAACACACAAACACACAAACACACAAACACACAAACACACAAACACACAAACACACAAACACACAAACACACAAACACACAAACACACAAACACACAAACACACAAACACACAAACACACAAACACACAAACACACACAACACACACAACACACAAACACACAACACACACAAACACACAAACACACACACACACACACACACACACAAACACACAAACACACACACACACACAAACACACACAAACACAAACACAAACACAAACACAAACACAAACACAAACACAAACACAAACACACAACACAAACACAAACACAAACACAAACACAAACACAAACACAAACACAAACACAAACACAAACACAAACACAAACACAAACACAAACACAAACACAAACACAAACACAAACACAAACACACACACACACACACACACACACACACACACACACACACACACACACACACACACACACACAAACACAACCCAGAAAAGGACGCTATGCTCAGGTGGAGGTTTTTCCACCGCCTGCTCGGCAAGGTCCGGGAGCTAAAGCGCGAGCTGGAGGAGAAGGCGGTGGACAGGACATGGGCGGGGCCGAAGGTCTTCGGGTCGCTGTCCTCCAGGGCAAGCCGCAGGAATTTGGTCCAGGGTTGTGCTCGTAGATTTGCAACTTGCGCTCGTAGGACCTTTTGCAACTTGGAGATTTCCAGTTCCCACTCCCAAAGGGTTTCCCAATTGGTACCTCAGGAGCTACTGAACAGGGTTGTGGGAAATGGAACCCACGAATCTGTGATACGTTACTAAAAGGGCCTAACCCCAAAGACAAACACCCCAGAAAAAAGGGGGAGATCCCCACAAGTATCACAGAAGTGGGAATAAACCCCTTGATTCCACAACCCTGTTTTGGTCCATAATTCCACTTGCCAGGCGTCCATTCTTGGCTGAAAAAATCGGACCCCAGCAAATATATAAATATATATATATATATATATATGTTCCAGGCCGTGGACCCCCCCCCCCCCAACCCCCCCCCCCGTGGGGGTGGGGTGGGTGGGTGGTGGGGTGGTGGTGGGGTTGTGGGGTGGTGGTTGGGTGTTGGGTGGTTGGGCCAACCCCCCCCCCCCTGTGGGGGGTGGGGTGGGTGGTGGGGTGGTGGGGTGGTGGGGTGGTTGGGTGGTTGGGTGGTTGGGTGGTTGGGTGTGGTTCGGAGTTGGTTTAGGCTTGGTGGGTTGGTTTAGGGTTGGTTCAGGGTTGGTTCAGGGTTGGTTTGCGGTGGGTTTCGGGTGGGTTTGGGTTTTGGGTTGATTTAGGCTTAGGGTTGGGGTTAAGGAGGGGTTGCAGGGTGGTTTGGTTTAGGGTAGGATGTTGCGAGAGGTGCGGGGGTGTTGGTTCACGGGGTGAAAGGGGGTCTGGGACCGAAGCTGCAGGGCTCGCACGGTACTGGACAGCATCCCCAGCATTGCCAGCATCATCCCCAAGATGCGGATGATGCGGGCATCTTGGGGATGATGCGGGGGAATGGGGGGACCATACCATTGGGGGGGGGGGGGGTACGTGGCCCAGGGACTGGTACATATATATATATATATATCTCTTGTTTTGCCTGGGTAGTGGAAAACAAAAAGAACCCCAAAAAAGCAAAAAAATGCAAAAAGGGGAGCTAATTCTGGTGAAGCATTTGGTAATTCGTGTTTTTTTTTGGTTTTTTTGAGCCACAGGGCAAACAGCTTCACAGCAACTCGGGCAACCCACGTGTTCAGGGAGCTTTTGTGCGCAAAATGTTGGGGCAACCCACGTTCAAGGGAACTCGGTTGCTTTCTGCTCCCCTGCTCAAAGTGAATAACTTTGTGGTTTAATTGGAAAACCCATTAGTTGGCAAAAAATAGTCCTAACATCCAAACAACATGCACCAAAGACAGCAAAGGGATGGGAAGACGAGGCCAAGCAGTCAAGTCCGAATCGGCTCCCAGCCTTTCTCAGAAACTCGTGGATTGACTGTTGCTGTTTACGCGGGTTCCCATATTGACAAAGGCCATCCAGGGAAACTCGCCGCAAAATGGCCTGCGGTCGAATATCCACCAAAACTGACAATGCAAAGGCAGGCCTCATGGGCCTCATGGGCACAGGGATCAGAGAGGCCCTGGTGGGTAGCCAAAAACCGCAGCCCGGGAGATTCGATTTATGCCAACCCCGGAAGGGCATGGCAATCTGCCAGTTGCCAAAAAAAGGGACCCCGGTAGTGATAGATTCCCGTGGTGAAATCGACTCCTTTTAAAACCAGAATGTGACATGAAAAAACACATGTTCTTCAGTAAATGGAAGCAAATGGAACGAGCCCCCAGCAAGGACTGAGATAGACAAACAAGTTCTGAATGATGTGCTGAAAGGGTTCTCCTTGTAGGTCCCTCCTAGGAGGGGCGCTTCCATTTGCTTTTTCGTCCCCTGCAGTGGTTAAGCCTCCTGTAAAAAAATAAAATAGTTCCAGCAGTGATAGATTCCCTTGAAAACCAACAAGGGACTAAAAAAAAACTTTACCAAATGGTAGATTGAGCACATAGAAGGGCATCAGCTACGAGGGGTCATTTGCAAGAAAGCCAGGCCGAGCTGCGTTGCCTGCACTCATGTCCACGGGGGTGCTTTGTAGCCTCGTGAAATAGCCCACTGAACGGAGGCCTGTAGCCATGGCTGTTGGGTTCTCAGGCTTACTGACCACTAACCAAATCGATCGCCCCTTTAAGTTCCCCCTCGTGCGGGACCCTCAGCCCTCCCACTTACCTCTTAAGGGCGGGCGGGCCCCACCTTCAACTGGTTTGCACAAAGCGAGCCTTCACCACACGCTGGTTGACAGCAAACTTCAAATGTGATTGCCTTTTTGTCACCCGCTGGCACTTCAGCCTTCAAAGTTCTCATTTTAATATTTGCTACTAGCAGAAAGATCTGCATCAGGCTGTAGCCCACAAAGCCACATTCAACATGGTCATTTGGTGAGGCCGTAGGCGATGACTCAATTCTTTGACCTCCGCTAACATTCGCACCCAAAGCCACCAGCACAAATCAGAAAGAACCATATCTCGCCCAAGACTAGAGGGTAAAACGCAAAAACATAGAACTCTGGGGCCAAAGCCTTGCTTCCTTTGGGGAGAGGTTTTGCTTTGCAACCAACCCTCTACTCACTTCCTAAGTGGATGGCCCAAACAAAATAAGCAAACTCTCCAAGTTTGCCACTGAATGACCCGAAAAATAACTGGGTCCTCCAGTAGAGCCCTTTTTTTCTGTAGTCCATTTTAGTAGGGGAACCCTGCCCCCAAAAAAGGTGGTCAAACAGGGATCCTTACATTATACACCTGAACATTGCCTTGTAAATGGTGGTTTCCCTTGATTTTGGCGGAAAAAAACATGTTTCAACTGTGCAAAATGTATCTTTTAAGGAGCCCTGTCAAGGGGCACTGCTATGGGATGACCATGTCAGGGAGTGAGTTTCCGGCCGTTTCCCGCCGCAACACCCGCCTCGCAGTACAGCACGGGCGCCACAGAACTCCTGAGAGACATGGCGTCAGGTGCCCTTGTAGACGACCCATGGGCGCACAGTCTTGCTTGACACTAAACCAAAACAAGCAAACGTGCAAAATGTGTTCCAACAACAACCATGCAGTTGGTGCTTTATCTGGCAAAAATGAGATAAAAGATTTATGTGTCCACGAGTGAAATCGATTCCGTTTCAAACCAACAAGGGGAAATTCAGCAAATGGAAGTCTAGCTGCCTTGCAAGGGGAAAAGCCCACCTCAGCGACTTGCATGCGAGCTCGCTATTTCCCTCCAATTGACATGAGACCTGACAGGGACCCGGCCCCTTTAAAACGAGCATGGGTCCAAACCTAGACCATTTCCACGAACGTTGAACGGTTCCATGTGCTAATTGGTGGGGGGGTAGTGCAAACTAGAATTCTCAGGCATGAGGCTCTATCCCCAACTGGTCGTGGCGTCTCCTTTCCCACCTCAACCACACCTCTAGAACCCTCAAGTCGCCTTAGGTTGAGGAAACAGGTCATCGGGGGCTTTGGTCTTCCCCCGCGCCGTTTCCATCCGCAAAGGCCACTCCACAGGAATAGTCATAGAACATGACCGCAGGTTTCGCTGCAGGATAGAGTGGGTGCTGAGGCTAAAAAGATCAAAGCATCGATGCCGTGCCCTGGGGATTTCGGGGGAACTATTACAAACATGGGTAACCTGGCCGACATCCATATCCGCGAGGAATGTGCTGATGCATAGTGTTGGTGGCAAATTTCATTCACATCCCTGAGGGTCCAAATCCGTAACTGCAAGGCACTTAACGGAATCCGTAATATTCGCGTGTTTTGGCTCAACATGTCAGGAGCGCGGCTTCGGGGCGAAAAGCCGTGAATATGACATGTTGCACCGTGTTGCACCAAAATTCAGCCATCCCCTTAGAGGAAGAGTGTTTTGCTCTGACAGCTTCACCTCATTTGCAACCGCGGCATAGTTGCATCAGAACCTTCGGTGATCAGCTTGTCTTGGGGGCATGGGGTTGATCAAGAACCATGGCAGGACTCTCTAGCACATCAACCCACCCGGTCTAGGCTGCGGTTGTTGAAGAAAAATATCACGCGATACAGTTGCGTTCGATTGAAACAAGTTGCGTCCAAAGCTGTGCCGGCGCACTTGTGGGAGTTTGATCGGATTAAATTGTGTCAAATCGCAAAGCCTCAGAATGTACATTAGTTTAAAGCGTGAGTGCTGCGCCATGCGAAAGACGTTTCCACACATCACGCGATACAGTTGCGTTAAATTGCGTTAAAAACCGTGATTGCCAGCTTCCGGGCGTTAAATCGCGTTAAATTGCGGCATCAGTTCTGGGAAACGTATTTCATGCGGGAGTGCTGTTTCGATGCCTGTTGCAACGCCATATCGGTGCTGCACTTTTGACAAGAACAAGCACTTTCCCCACGATCGCTGTTCTTGCCCGACATTTCGGCAACAGGCCCTCAGCTTGAAACAATGCAGAAGGTGTCGCTACTCAAACACTAAGATCTTTGCATATCTTTGCGCATCTTTGAGCATCCTGAGGCTTTTGACCCACGAAACCCCGCTTTAGAGGCGAATGTATGACATGTTACCTTAGGCAGTGCTTCTGTGTGCCATCCAGCGATGAAAGATGATGAAAGTATCGCGTGGTCTGCGCTGGGTTTGTGTTCCCAAATGGCTTCAACATGAGAAGCCGCAATATTCACGTACTCGGGCCCAGGAGTGTCAGAAGCACGGCTTTTTCACGAAAGTACCTCAATATAGAGTATTGGACCCTTAGGGCATAGAATTTCTCAGGCTCCCAAAGCAGTACCGAAACGAACAAGCCCACACTCATATCCGTGTTGAGGCTAGGAAGGGTTCTACCTTCAAGTCCGGTAAGATCTTCTCTTCCGACTCAAAGCTGCCGCCCTTTCCACTGTGCCCAGCCGCGCTTTTGTTTCGCATGGATCAAGCACACTCGCACAGGTCCCAAGTCAGTGGTGCCTTGCTAGATTGGCAGCTCATCAATGTCATGATCTCCAAGTTTCAGTCGGGCGTCCAAGCCCCCCCAAACGCCCAAAGGCACAGACAGCGACGGTCACAAGTCCCCGGCCCTGCCCCCGCCCCCCCCCCACCCCCGCCAGCTCCTACCGGGACACTGTGGCATTGGCATGGACTTTGCTTTCCCAAAGTCCAAGCCTTCATCGTCCGAATCCTGAGCTGCCTAAGCCCACCCTAAACCCACTCCAAGTCAACCCCAAAGCAACATGGAGCCCAAAAGGTTTTGGATTTCTTTCAAATGAATCCCCTTTTGGTTTTGGGGGGAGCCCCTTTGTTCGTGTCCATGTTGTTTCTTTATTCTGGCCTCTGTGAGCAAGAACTCTCACAATAGTAGCCCATGTTCGATGCCTAAAGCTTGTCGCCGTGCGCCCCATAAATAATGTATGGAAGGGGCGTGCCCTCGAATTCAATAACCCTCCGTGAACCGTTTCCTTTGGGCACAAGGCCACAATGTGTCACCTTGACCTTAACTGGCGACTTGGAATTGTGCACCAAACCAAACCACCAACTGAGGCTTATCTGAATATGTGTCTGTTGGGGATCCTTAAAACACGAGAGGGCAGCATGAAGGGACTCTGTCATTGACAACTCCAGTGCCAACATGTGCCAGCTTCGGCTTGATCCGAAAAGTTGGTTTGTCCTTTTGGAGGGGACCCCAACAAACCATGGAATTCCCGTTCCCAGAGGGTCCAAGTACCTCATATTTACGGAGTTGAGGAATCTGTAATTGGCGGATCCCCGTGACTCAAAGCCAAAACCTTAACTATGTGGTACTTAGGACCCTCTGGGTTTGGTTCCCCTTTAAAAAGGTTTCCTTTGGTTCCCCTTAAAAAGAACACCAAGGGGTACCAACTCACAAAAGAAAGAAAGAAAGAAAGAAAGAAAGAAAGAAAGAAAGAAAGAAACAAAGAAAGAAAGATAGACGCCCATCCGTCCGGGGCCTCGCTTTCCCGGTGAAAAAAAACGCCAAGCCGAGCCTCGGCCGCGGGCTGGAACGTGGGGCTCCTGACGGCTTGACAGCCGAGTCGCTGCATGCCGTGGAGCCCTACCTTAAGGGCCAGGGGTGCTTCCCAAGTCCATTTGCAAAAGTCTTCCCCCGCAAAACCGAAAAAAATGGGCCTGTTCTTGCTTTTATGGAATTTCAGGGGTCCCGCCTCCTCCAATTCGCCTGAAAAGTGGTGTGTATATATATATATATATATAACCTCTTGGCTTGCCGCGAACATGGCCTTCGAAAAATCGGCATTCGCAAAGGAAGCTGGGGGAGTGAGCGGTTCGCCACGCTCTCTTGGGAATGTTTGGGTTGAGCTCCCGTAGCTGCAGTGGAAGTCCTCGAAGGATTGGGGTGAGGGAACAAACAAAACTTATTAGGCATCAAACAACTTATTCTCATTGATTTACTATTAAGGATTGCCGAGTCAGATTGCCACTCGCTTGCCCAACTCACTTCCAACACTTTGGACTTGATCGAAACCTTGGGGAAAACCCATTTGGGTCAGATCAGGTGGATTCGCGTTGGGCAAGTGAGGTATGGGTGTAGGAGGGCAAACAAATGGGGCACACGTGCACCACTCATTGGGCTCAATATTCAAGCATCTGTCGTTTACTGGGCTCGCACCGGCGACACCATACAGCTAAAAAGCAAACAGCGACGCTCCCCCAACTACTGTAGCATCAAAAAGGGGAACAGTTCGGAGCACACATGCTGAAGTTCTCATGGTTCCGTACAAACCTCAGCTGCTTCACAAAAGCCTGCCTCTTCACAAGCTAGCAAGCATGATTCAAGGGCTGCCTTCCAGTTCCATCCTTTCCAGGGATCCTTCCTTCTGTAAAACCCTCCGGAAACGCCCGGGAAACGGCGATGGGCTCTTGAACTCATGGCAGGCATGACTGACGGAACCTGCCGGAGAGTGGCAGGTTCCACAGCTCGGATGGGTGATCCCGGAACACGCCCGCCTAGATTCCAGCAAGCTCGGCCCTCGAACCAGCCTGCGGACAGCACGGATCATTTTCGCGCGGATGTGTCCGAACCAGCGGCTTCCTGTTAGCGAGACTAGGTCCTCTAGTAGAGAGGCTAGAATAAGGGTACCCTTTTTCTGTATAGGGGAACCCTCCCCCAAAAAAGAAACGGCAAAAGGGCACTACTGGGGGACCTAGAAGAGCATGCCGAGAAGGACCCATTGAAAGTCTCAGTTGCTGCGACCCAGAAGCCAAACGTTAACCTTGGCCAGACCAAATTTGGGAATCAAATTTGGAAAAAAGGTCGGCTTTGGACAACTGAGAAGTTGTTGATTTTGGTCTCCACATGTCTCCACAGCTATATTCGCCCGCCGCGAGGCTTAGTTCGGGGTGCAGCGAACCGGCAAGTGACCAAGGCCCGTCGCGCAATCAGACAGTCCGAAACGCTTCGATGGTCGTCACCTGCAACGGGCCACCCGTCGGCAAAACCAACCGCGACATCAAGAACCAAAGCAGCGGCCCTGACGACGGCGGCAAGGACAACGATCACCACCACCAGCAGCCGCTACCGCAACTGCTACTGCTTCTGCTGCAACTGCTGCTGCTGCCACTGCTGTGCGTGAAATTTGAAGCTCACGTGTGGCGCCGTCTGGCTTGGCAACCGATCCAGTTTTCGCGCAAGCATACTTCGGGCACTTCAGGGGGTGTGTCCAGCTTTGATCCCGATTAGCATCCTGGAAAATATTCAAGAAAGTCCAGTGATAGATTCCTGTTAAAACCAAAATGAGAAAATACTACGTACTCTTAACTCTTAAGAAAATGGAAGGTAAGTGAGGTTGACTACTTTGAGGACAACCTTTAGCGAAGCATTTTTGCAGCCCTCAAATTGGAGAAACGCAAGATGGCTCAGTACTGCACCTGCAAAAAAGCGGTCAGCGCAAGGGGAAAATCATTTGATTTGCTCAGGACTTTGGAAGCGTGCAGCTGACAGCCACCGCCACCACCACCGCCACCACCACCACCACCGCCGCCGCCACCGCCGCCACCGCCACCACACCTCATCCTGAACGAAAGGCACCACGACCACGACAGCGACCGCGGCAACGGCTCGCCTGCTGCGAGTCGCAGAGTACGCAAGAGAAGCCTGGCACCTGACTGCAGCAGTGACAGAGACGAGGAAGATGAAACCTAAATGGAATTTTAGGGGTCAGCCCCTCCTCCAATTCCATGTTCAAGGGTGTGGGCATTTGCCAAAAAAAGTGGAGCCTGTTCGGTTGCCACGAAAACGGCCCTCGCAAAAGGCATTTGTTTTGCAGGAAGCTGGGGAGTGAGCGATTCGCCGCACTCCCTGGTGCCTTGTCATCAGGAATGTTTGGGTTCAGCTCCTGCAGCTGCAGTGGGTTACCTAAAAGGATCGTGGCTTGCTGAGTCCAATTGGCACTTGCTTGACCTGGAAATGCATGGTGTACCTTATCGAAACCTTGACCAAAAATGGAGCAAACATGGGGAAAACCCATTTGGGTCAGATCAGGTCAATTCGCTTTGGGCAAGTGAGGTAGTGTAGGAGGGCAAACAAATGGGGCACACCTGCACAAAACTTGGGGTGATACAATCCCACCACTCATTGACGGCTCAAAATTCAAGCATTTGTCGTTTACTGGGTTCGCACCGGCGACACCATACATTCATTCATTCATTCTTTGCGCTCGTAGGACCTTTTGCAACTTGGAGATTTCCAGTTCCCACTCCCAACGGGCTTCCCAATTGGTACCTCAGGAGCTACTGAACAGGGTTGTGGGGAATGACCACTTCTGTGATACAACAGAAAGGGCTTCTCAAAGACTAACCCCCCATAAGGGGGAGATTCCCACAAGTATCACAGAAGTGGTTGGAAAAAAAAACCGAGCGATCAACCACAACCGCTACTGAACGACCCCCGTCTTTGCCCCCCAAAAGCCATCACTTCGCCGGCAAATCCCCGCAGGTGCCCCCCCAGCCCGGGGGCCAAAGGAACGTAACGGCAAGTCTGAACCGAACTTTGCTCAAGACCCCCTGGAAAAAGAAGATGTTTTTTCCCAATGATGAGAGAGTCCCTCTAAAACCAACCTGGGAAAGCCCAACATATGCTGAAAAATGTTCTTACGCAAGCCGAACTAAGAGGGAACTGGGACCGTCAGGCCCTTTGGCGCCCACAATCTCGACCTCAAGCGAGCAAAGCCTCTTCGACCAGACTTCGGCTGCAAAAGAAAACTTGTCAAAAGGCCCGGTGTTGGCCAGCGAGGTTCTGGCCTCATTACTTTATCATGATCAAAGTCACCCCCCAAGTGGTGGGTTAATGAGAAACAACCAACCATTTTCTGACTTTGATAACCTCCAGAAAGCGTCAAAATAATGACACCAGAGATACGGGGCATCCCGTGATCAAGACTTTGGGGCGCTCGCGCTCAAAGCCGCACTTCCGACCAGGATTGCAATCGAGGCACTTTGATACGGGCAATGGGTTGGACTTTGCCTTCCCAAACGACTGCAACTCCTTCATCCAGTCGTCATCATCCAAGACCTCAGTGCGACAATCTGAGGGTTTTTGTATTGCACCCTGGGATTAGAATGACCCAGAATGGTTCAACATAACACGGTTTTATCCGGAAATGTGCCTAAATGGGGTCAATACCCAGCTGGTGTATTCCCAGGGTGTAGTACAAACACGCTTAGAGACAACCGTCTCTTCCATTTGCGCCCCCCGGCAAAAATGAAAATCTGTCCAGCAGTGATGAATTCCCTTTCAAGCAAATGGAAAGTCTTCTGGATATAAGCGACTCTGTTTCGTGTGCTCTCCCGTTGGAGGGTGTGCAATAGATTCAATAGGCAGAGGGTGTGTTGTATGTATTCGCAAGAAGCTTGTTCATGTGCTAAGCGTCCTTGCTTGTGTACAGGCGGCGCCAGGCGGCGTGTTTTTCGGCCTCTAAGTTCTTGGTGTCCGGAGGATTTCGGTTCAGGGATAAGGAAGCTTGCTGCGACAGGGGTCATTCTTCTGACTGTTTCCCCCACTTAGGGGATGGCTTCGATCATGGTATAATTTAATGAGGCCGGTTCGAGTTGAGGGTGTTGCGGGTGCGTGTAGGCGGATAAGGTTGGCTTGAGGGTCTCAAGGCAGAGGGTTTTGGATGTGAAGGGACTGGTGGGTTGGGCTAGCGTAAGGTTGGCTGAGGATATGTCTGGGCTGGGGGTTGGGTGCAGTTGGAGTATGTTAGAGTCAGGGTTAATTTGCGATACGAGTTGGGCGCCCTTTTTGAGGGTGCCCCTGACATGTAAGACCCTTTCAAAGGCGGGCGACAAGGGGTTCAAGGTTCAGTCCTCGTCTCCCGTGCGCAGCACTTTTCTAGTTTTCGGGGCTCGGCTGCACGCCATTTACAAGGCCCAGCCTTCTCCTCGCACAAAAAAGCAGAAATTATATGCCCAGGTCGCATCTTCCACCCAAACCCTTCGCGAGCTGAACATCTCTGAGCCCCTCGAAGGGGCGATCGATTCGGTACGTCAGGTAAGTGCTGAGTAAGCCTGGTGTTTTTTTCTCCCACTGAACGGAGACATATAACCAACCACGGCTTTTGTGGGGTACCAGGCTTACTAACACCTGCCCCTTGTAGGAGCGCAATCCCACATAATATGAACATGCCACAGAGCCAGAAACCGCTACATACCCTTGCTGGTTTTAACTGGAATCGATTTCACTATTGGACATATGTTCTCCTTCTCCCCAGAAAACGAAAAAGCGGATGGAGCTTGGGGTTTCACGGTGCGATCATATAGGTTTCCTCGGGTTTCCTTCTGGAGAGTTCCTTCCGGCTCCGGGGGTTGCATCAAGGTCCAGGTTCCAAGTCTGGGGTGTGGAGCGGTTTTTCTGGCTCCGTGCCATGCGGCTCATATGGGATTGCGGTCCTACAAAGGGCCGGTGTTAGTAACTTAGTAAGCCTGCTACCCCAGAAAAGCCGTGGTTGGTTGTATGTCTCCGTTCAGTGGGAAAAATCTCACCAGGCCTACTCAGCACTTACCTGACGTACCGAATCGGTCGCCCCTTGAAGTAGGGGCCAGCACTGTGACACATGACCGTCCAAGGCTTTGCACGGGAGGCTGGGAACATTTCTGCGGCCCGCGAGTCACGTCTCTGCGCGAGGTTTTTCCTTCGCATCCAAAGCCCAAAGCCAACTGGCCGAAGCCAGGGACCCCCCAAAGGGGACATGCACATATCTAATTGTCTAAAGGGCCCAACTACGAACATATATGGGCGTGTCTGAACTGAAAGTAGGGGCAGAATCTGTGGTATTCCTTTGCTTTCCTTTCGTGCTACCTCAAAAAGGCAGTTTCAAAAATCATAACCTATTGGAGAACCGGTCGCGCAGTGCAATTGGGGGTTCGGGGCCCGAAAACATATTCCCGTGGCATTCGGGGTGTCAATTTGGTACGTCAAGAACGGGTCCCAGAGCCTCCTTTCTGCTTGCCTTTGCCCCCCTGCCTTAAGAGGGAGGGGGTTTCCATTTGTTAGCACCACAAACGGAATTCCCCCTCCCCCAATTCTGTTCTTCAGGGGGTGGGGGTCCCTTTGTGCCAGCCATGGGGCGAGGGGTGGAGTGCGGAGGACGGGACCGCCTAATTTTAGGCACTGGAAAGGGTGCCCTCAAAACACTCTGGTCGAGGACCTTGGAGTTTTGGAGTTAGGGCGGCCGAGCGGCATTGGTGAAGACGCTGGAGATGGAAGGAATGGCCGGAGCGCTCCTGTCAAGACAGACTTGGTTGACGTTGGACAGGGAGCAACAACTTCAATGTTAGCCGTTAAACGGGGATTTCAACCGCTAAACCACAACAAGCAAAGATGTAACATGTTTCCCAACAACAACCATGCAGAAACGCAGGGCTCTTGGAGGTTCATGATGCGTATACGAGTCGTTCATGCACCCGCACGAGGCACATCCAGGTCCTCATTGCCTGTAAAGAAAAGCCACTCCCCTAAAAGATTGCGCTTGTGCAATGGTGAAACCATGTTCCTTGAACAATGTGCTCAAGTCGAGCCTCCAAACAAAAACCGGCGGCGCACCCGCAGTCTCAAGATAGTGGCTGCAACTATTAAAGACGGGCTTGATCCAGAGTCCCATAGAGGAGTGTTTTTGACGCCCCAGCCTGCCTGTTTGAGCCAAAAAAGGGTAAAATAGAGGCCAAACAACAGGTGAAATAGGGTCTGTCCTATGGTTCCAAAAGTCTGCACGCACACTTCCTCCTGCGTGGGCTCATGCATATGCTCAATGCGGCCTCAGGTGATACGAAGGCCGCGCGACAATGGCAAGCCCCTTGTGCCTAAATGTGAAACAAAACTGCCACAGGCTCCCATGGGGTTGAGTGCACAAAACCGCCCAAAACCCCCAAGTCACCACACCAGATTGGCCGGCAGCTTTCTTTGCCTGTTCAGTTTAACTTGGTTGACGTTGGAAGGGGAGCAAAATCTATTTTTTAGCAGTTAAGTGGGGATTTCCAACTAAACCACAAAACCAAAAAGCAAAATGTTTCCCAACAACACGCATGTTAAAAGCGAAACCCCTCTCTGACCCAGGGAAAAAGTAAGCATCCACAGAGCATCTGCCCAGTTGCACACGGGCCCTTCTGCTATTGGAGCATATCCGGCTCGTTGAGCGTCTGCTTTCCTAAAAGAAGAAGCAATATCTTCCATTTGGTTCAGACCCCTGGATTTAAAAACAAAACAAAAAACTGTAGTAATAGATTCCCTTTAAAACCAACAGGGGGAAAAAATATTCAGCAAGTGGAAGATTAGCAGTTGCAAAGTGGGTGTCTGGAGGGCATGGGGCAGCCACGGCAGCCCCTTTCAAGCAGCCGAGCGCGCGAAAAAAAACAGCCCAGATGTGGGCGTGAGAGCCGCGCACATACACACATGGGGTGTGGCTCAAATTACAGAGCTAGTTTTACGCAGGCTTTAGTCTTTGGTTCCATTTGCTAAGGTGCTGCATGGGACAGGACCTTGGGTTATATTACCCTTGGACATGGCCCTTGGGTTCTATCGCTGTGGCCCGTCCAAAAAGCCAAGGCACGTTTCCGACGCGACTCCTCTGCCAGCCTGGGAAGCTTTGCCGCTGCATGCACCCTCCCACCAATTGACATGGAACCTGACAGGGGTTCCTGGAAAGACCATCTTCCTTTTAAAGGAACCCCCTGTCAGGTTCCATGTTAATTGGTGCACGTCTATCTGCAAAAATTACAAGGTGTCCAAAACATGAAGAAAGACTTGGATCCCCAAGCAAAGTTTTACCCCCAGGTGAGCTCGCCATATGCAGATCGATGTTTGGAGTTATGGTTAGGGCCCGACTCCGTCGCCAATAGGTGCTCTTGGTGTGGCAGAGTCTCGCAAGCTCAAAGCCACTCGGAACCTTATTGGATGGCAATCATTCCGCTTGCCACTTGTGGCTTGGAGCGTGATTTGGTGGCTCTCCCCCATTTGCCCTCTACACGTAGGGGTTCAAATCCAAATCCGAGAACCACCAATCCAAACCACCTCAATTTACCAGCTGAAAGGTCGAGTAATTTCCATTAAACGGCCCTTTCTGTTTCACCCAACATCTCCGCATGCCCATCTACTTTGCTTGCCACGGGGCGGCAGTGGGTGGCATACCCACGACCTGCGCGGGTGCATGAAATCTCCATTCCTCACCAAAGGCCATGAGTGGCCGGGCAAAAAGGGTCCCTTGTATTTTCCCCTGGTTTGAAAGGGAAACGATTTCACTACTGGACATATTTCGTACTTTTTCCAGGGGGCGAAAAATCAAATGAAAGGTATGTCCAGGACTATCCTTACAAAGAGAAGGGGCGACACCACATGTCGTCTCAGACCATGAGAAACCCCCCCCCCCGGAACGCCCAAAAACAGTGAGGCTTAGCCGCCGTGAAAGTCTGCGACCGGAACCCAAAAAGATTTTTTTTTTTTAAAAAAAAAAAAAAAAAGCTCCAGGCTCAGGCCTTGCGTTTCAGTTGGCACGGCCCGGTGAAATTCTAAGCCTTACCTCCTCTGCTTCCCTCGAATTGGTGGGGTGGCTTAAGCAGCGGTTCAAACCCCAACGCAACGTGTCTCACTTCCGGAGCGAGTCAGCCGAGCAGTTTTTCTTGAGCTACTTGTTTCCTGCCACAATATTTCCTAAAGTTTGAGTGCCAGAAACTGGTGGGGGGGATACCTTGAAAGGAAGTTGCCAACCCTGACTTTGACACAGAAATCACTTAGTTGCTCGGACCGGGAAACCGCACGGCTCTCCGGGAAATAGACCGGGATGTGTAGAGGGAACCAGCGGCAACAGGTCAATATGGCCACCGAGCTTCACCAATCTTCACCGTTGACTGGTGGTTGGGTTTGGCGGTTTGGACGTTGCTCCATGTAGCTTTGAAAGGGCTTGAAATCCAAACCATCACCTTCAAATGAGCCCGCCCACTGCTAAGCAAAGCAACCCCTAAAATACCTCATTCTTCCCAAAATAGCTCTTTCCTGTACTAAAAGGGAAGCCATGAACAGTTGTTGCAAGCCCAGTTTATTAATACCGGGCTGTGCCCCTCAAAAAGTGGCCTGATTCCCCACATTTCACCCAGGGGAAAGCACCCCCCTACTCATAAACAGGGGTTGGGACAAATACAGTCGACATTGCTCACTTCCTCGAAACAAAACTGGACTGCCCTCAGATCCCCCGCAAAAAGTTTAACTTTTAGTAGAGTTAAATAAGTTAAATGGAAACTACCACTAAAGAAGCTAAAAGATCTAAAAAGATAAGCAACCGGATGACTGGGCTTGCCACCAAGACAAGGTTCACCTTGCGGGACCTCTGCTAAACTAGGTCCAGTAGAGAGGTTAGAATAAGGGGACCAACTGTTTTCTGTCTATTTTAGTACGGGGGTTCCTCCCAACCGAAAAAGGGGTGAGAATGGGCACCTAGCTGAAGAAACCTCCGCTAGAGATGTGGACCTCTGCTCACAGACACCAAAGCTCGGTTGCTTTCTGCTCACAAAAAAAATTGTGGTTTAATGGAAAGCCCATTTGTTGGCAAAAAGTTAAAGTCCCAACATCCAAGCAACATGCAAAGAAAAGCTTCGAACTCCAAGCCCGGGCGCCAACCAGCAGCGCGCAGCCGATGCAAGCGACAAAGGCCACCTGGCGAGTGAGTGAACCGCACGCAGGCGACCTGCGGCGGCCTTCGATGTTGGAACAAACAAAAACAACGATTTTAGCAGGTAAGTGATGTTTCCAACCACTAAACCACAATAAGACAAAATGTAACATGTCAGAAAAATATAGTTTAGCAGCTAAGTGGTTGGATTTCAACCACTAAATCGCAGTAAGACAAAATGTAAACTGCAAAAACAAAAAAACACATTTTAGCAGCTTAAGTGGTTGGATTCCAACCACTAAACCACAAGAAACAAACATGTAACATGTTTCCCAACAACAACCATGCGGCAGGCGACCTTTCCCAGAAGTGGATGGATTTCCCTGGTGATGTTTACCCCATACCGTGGGTGGACGAAATCCATTTCGCACCACTTTGAAGCCATAGCAAACCATTGTTGGTTGGCATTTACCGCGGAAGCATCACCCCAGGGTTTTGTAGGTGGCGCAGGGTTTCGTCTGTCCGCAGTATTCATATGCATTAATCAACCCCAGTTTACTAATATGGGGGGTGTCTCTGGGTGAAATGTGGGGAATCGTCACTTTTGGAGGGGCACACTCACCCAGTAATATCCTGGAATTTGCTAATATGGGGTCAACATTACAATCATTACATGGAATAAAACCCATCTAAACCAGAGGAATCCATCTTCTAACCAAGCCTAAAAGGGACACCTAGAACCATCTCTGACATGACACTCGCGACTTTTCGTTTATATTATTTTTGACAGTCTTGCGCGAGCTTCTGACATATCCCCAACTCCGCAAGTCCAAAAGGGCAGCCATTGGAACCTGGGAGCTGCCTCCGTGCCCGCCCGGCGGCTGAGGCCGCAGCACGACCACAAAAGGTGCTGCAGTCGCCGTCGCCGTCGCCTCGCGGTTTCGCGCCGCGCGAAAGGAACCCAAACGGCGCCGAGGTGCCTAAGCGCCGCGGGGATTTTGCCGGGCCGAACCCCGCTCCGAAAGGGCACTGGAGCAGAACAGTGGCCCCCCCCCAAAAAAAAATAATAATACTAATCACAAAAATAATACAATGAATTATTAATAAGAAGAAGAATAATAATAAGTTTTTTCTTATTAAAAAGGGGGGGGGGAAAAACAAAAACAGAACGCCGCGGTCATTGTCCCTTTTTGCGATCCGTGCCGAAACCCGAAAGAGCTGCTTCCCTCCGGCGAGGTGCCCTGAACGGCTTGACTTGCAACCCCGGTGCCCTTTGAACAGCCCTCAATGTGGCAGAGGGACCCCCCTGGACCCGCCTTAAAAAGATATCTGTTTTGCGCTACCCCGTGCGGGCCGAAGTTGCGGAGTGATTTGCAAAAAAAATCCGCCGGGCCCGCCTTGTTCAAGGCTGGGCGAGGGGCGGCCATATCCGGCCGCGTGCACCTGACCTCAGCGTAAGGAAAAGCGGCACGTCTTGGTTGCGAAGTACACCAAGAAGCAGAAACAGTTTCTGGGGCGGCCAGTTTCGAAATATATACACCTGAACCATACACCTTTCGAGAACACCTTTCAGAAACATACACCTGAACCAGTTGAGGAAACTGGCCGAGAACCATACACCTTTCGAAACACAACATGTTCAGGGGCGGCGCAAAATAGGATTCCACCCAATATATTTTTTAGCGTGGCTCATTGAATCGCTACACGCTCCTGAATTTGCATTTCGGGGGTGTCTCCAAATAGGGCGCCCTACCACCCACCCGTATCATCCCCAATTTTGAGAAACACCGCTCGGGCTTGCTTTCGGGTACGGAATTCAGAAGAAACAAGAAGCGCACCAGGCATTTCAAAAGCTTTACGGCTGTCCCCTTCAGACTCACCATCACTCACCCATGTATAGATAGGCTTGCCTTAAAATTGGCGGTAGTTGCCCTCACAACCAACCCTCAAACACAAGGGGACCGATCCTCACAAAAGGGGGGGGAAAACAAAAACAGAGGCACACCGGTACCGAAACGCTTGTGGCCAAAATGTGGCCAAACCTGTTTGCCCCCTTTTTCTCAGCCGAGTTTTGACAAGGGGTGATCGGGCCGGGCGAGTTATGACCCACAAAAGCCCCATGGATATATTTGTCTCGGCTCAGTGGGTTCTAACTCGCCCGGCTTACAATCACCGCTTACTTTGTAATTAGCCTACCCGAATGTTGTCAAACAATTTCTGGAGCGCCCGGCGCTTCCCATGTTTTTTTCTTAGGGCCAGGCCTGCTTCGGGCTCCACAAAGGCCCTGTGGCGCCAGGAAAAGTCTGGGGTCTCTTTTGTTCTTTTCTTTTTTTCCGCGGAAACTAGGTCCTCCAGTAGAGGTTGGAATAAGGTTACAATAAGGCACACGCAGCCAGAGCCACACACACACAGCAATCTCACCTCACTCACCTTCACTCACCTTCACTCACCTTCACTCACCTTCACTCACCTTCACTCACCTACCTCACCTACCTCACCTCCACCTCACCTCCTCACCTCACTCCACCCACTCACCGCACTCACCTCGCTGACCTCGCTCACCTCAGTCACCTCATTCAGTCACTCACTCTCACTCCCACCCAACCCCCGACCCACCCAACCCCCACCCCCCCACCCACCCACCCACCGACCCACCCATCCACCTACGCTCCCACTCACTCACTCACTCCCTCCCTAACGCCCCAGCCACCACCCAATCACTCACTCACTCACTCAGTCACTCAGTCACCCAGTCACTCAGTCACTCAGTCACTCAGTCACTCACTCGAGACCATCTCTCGCTTGCACGCACATGCGCAGAACACATACAAACAAACAAACAAACAAACAAACAAACAAACAAACACACACACACAAAAAAAATAAATAAATCCAACAAACACACAGAAAGAAGACAAGAAACAAAGAAGAAAGGAAGGAAAGAAGGAAGGAAGAAAGAAAGAAAGCCAAACACAAGCAATAAAACAAATCACAAAACCAAACCAACACAAACCAACACAAACCAACACAAACCAACACAAACCAACACAAACCAACCCGAACCAACCGACAAGCCAACGAAGCAATCAACCACACAGAACACACTACGACAACCAGCACGTGTCCGGCCATTTCAGGGCAAAAAGAGGGCGCCTGTTGGCAGGTGCGATGTGCGATGATTCATCTGCGAGCCCTTGGGCTGTCGTCACGGTTTCGACGCGTTCAAGCTGCTCATCACTTCCACAAGGTGTTGCCGTTAAAGGGGGCCTTATCTCTACTTAAAGATGTAAAATGGTCCCAAACGTTGACCCAGTCTATGGCCTTCTTTATTACACCCTGGGATTACACCCTAGGGAAATTACCCCCAAAGAAAGCAACATGACCAGGTCTTATCTTGAAATAGGCTCAACTAGGGTGATCTCTTAATCTTGAAATAGGCTAAACTAGGGTGATCTCTTAGAGGGCGTACTCCCAGGGTGAAATATAAAAATCCTTGGATTCTCCTCAACGTTTACAAATCCAAAACATCAAATAAGGGATCCGTCCTAGCTTTCCAGCCCCAAACCCAAGGCCCTCCTTGGCAGCTGGGCATCCATGAACGCCAGGCCGCCTTGGTCGCGACTCTGGGGGCTGAACATTCATTGGGGGCTCGGTGGACTTTAGCTCCCTTTGGCAACTGGATGGAACCTGAAACAACCATTTACCTCCATTTGCTTTTTCGCCCCCTGGAAATCCAGCAGTGAGAGATCTCCTTTCAATCCAAAAGGGGACCACAATACATGTTAAGCAAATGGACCCAACTGGTGGCCTCCCAAACTGGCCCAGCTCCTACAAATAGATCTTCTTGATGGAACATGGGCCAGTTTGGGAAGGCTCCAGGCAGAACGGCGCGGTTCGGGGAAAGAAGAAAAAACGACCGCCGCGGAACCCACCGACCCAAGTCGTCAAACCCTGGGCACCGACGGCCCAGAGCTGGGCCAGGGCCATGTGTGGCTGTCCAAAACCAGGAAAGCCCTGGTGAGAACATCAAAACTTGGCCGGAAAAAAGGGACCCCAGCAAAAAAATATCTTTTTTGTCTGGTTAGCGGAAAGAGGGAACCCCAAAAAAGCAAAAAAGCAAAAAGGGGAGCTAATTCTGGGGAAGAAAATAGGTGGCAAATGGATGTTCATCCACCCCAAAATGGGATCGCCCTAGGTGATGCCCCATGGCCATGCTTTAACAAAAGCGAGACCACGTCTCTTTACTTGGTTTCACTTCAAAGCGGGCCAGGCTCAATAACTGTGAACAGAGAACTCCGGAGTTGGCAACAAACTGCATGGGCCATCCGCGGCCCCAAAATATATGGACAGAAACGCCTTCGTACCCTTCTGATGGGTCTGCATGCCTTTTCCCATCCCGAAAGACCTGGAAACAAAAGTGGATCACCTTTCGGGACCGGTACTAAAACAAAACGCCCATACAAAACCCAATAGGTGAAAAACCCATCAGTCGATTCGCTTTGGACAACTGAGTTTTCTTGAGCCCCACAACAGGCCAGCCGGCACCTAGAATTTGGGATTTAGGAGGCTCACTTCCGATCGAGTGGGCCAAAGAACTCCGATCACTTCTCATTTGCCACTAGAGTCGGTCTTCCCATCCAGTGACCTTGAAGTCCAGGAACTCAGGAAGGGATAGGATGGGATCGCCAGAGCGGCTATAGCGCTCGGGCACCCAGTTGAAGAACAAAAAAACCACCGCGAACCCATCTCATGCCCATTGCTTTGGTCACGGGACTGACCCCAAAGCTCCAGCGGATGGTTCCATTTGCCAAAAGGAGTGCAAGCTCCTTTTACTGGCAACCGGCGCGTTTAATGCAATCCTCCACTTGAAGAGAATTGTACTGGTAAGTGGTTAGTAAGCCTGGTAAAATAACTCAAAGCCATGGTTTTTCAGTCTCCGTTCAGTGAGTTGTACCTCGCCAGGCTTACTCTCCCCACTTACCTGACGTACCAAATCGCATGGATCGCCCTCAAACTTTGGGTCACCTCTTACCTGACGTACCAAATCGATCGCATCGATCGCCCAAATTTTGGGCGTGCCAGCCCCTTCCAGCGCAGCTCGCCCTGACCCTCAAAATCTGCAAGCGAGACGCAGAACCCCGTGAGCAGCATGCCTCAGCCGCTCGACTTCGCCTCTGGCCTCCGCGTTTCAGCTTTTTCCTACAGGGATCCTTACATTATACACCTGAACATTGCCTTGCAAATGGTGGTTTCCCTCTATTTCGGCGGAGAAAGCAACATGTTTCAAATGGTTGCAAAATGGAGATCTTTTGAGGAGCCCTGTCCTACTGAGCCGAATGATTCGGTGGTTTGCCTCTAAAGCAGGGGTTCAAATCCCAAGTCGCCGATCCAAACCGCCAATTGCCGGACCCCCAACCTCCCCCTGGCAAAAACTCTGGCCCCCTGCATGGGGGGGTCATGTTGGCGGGGTCATGGCGATGGCAAGGACAAGTCCATGCTTTCTCACGCTTAGTCAGCTGCAAACCGTTCATGCAGTTCTTTTTTAAAAGTGCATCAAAAAAAAGCAGAAAAAAACGCAGATGCGTCTTTTACCCCGCCAAGAAGACCAGACCACCTTGAGTCGCATGGCAACCACTGGTGAAAACGGGAAGGAGGGATGGCCTGAAGCACTTTGTCACTTTGGTAAAGCTGAAGAAACGCTATGGGCTTGCAAGAAATTTTTTACTGTGCAGACTCCTAACATGAACAAATCAAAATCCAACTAAAGGCAACTTGCCAACAGTGAAGCAACCCCCTTCTTCTAAAAAACAACGTGGCTTCGGGCTCTTAGAAGCTGCTACCATGGTTCAGTGGTCATCTGGTCGTGCAGGCCAATGAAACCGGGAACGCCGCAAACCCCACGCGTCTTGTAGATCAAGTCTGGCTATGAATGCACAAAAACCCAAAGGAGCAAGTGCGGAAGCTTGTCGCACTTCCGGAGTGGATGGGCCAAAAAAGTCCACTTGAAATTTACCAAAATCTTGGATGCTGTTGACCCCTCCGCAAAAAGTTTAACTTTTTGTGGGTTTAATTCGGAAAACCAATTGAAATCCCTAAGAGTTAACAAGTCTAAAGATCCGCTACCCAATAGCAATCAAGAAATGGTCCAAGCCCAAAAAGTGTTTAAAGTCCAGGAGCTACTGTTCATGAACCACGGAACAGCCCCGATTTTTCAGGTGTCAGGAAAGGAACCAAAAGGCTCCACTCCACCGCCACAGCCCGGGACAAGGGAAAACACAAGAACCATCAGGCACAGGGTTCCACTTTTGACCCCCAAGATGGACTTAAACCCAAAAGCTCTCCTTTTGGAGGACATTCACCACCCCTGGGTTGAAGCCTACCTTGGAATAGTCAAAAAGTGGAGCCCTGATCAGGCATACTCTGATAATTACCAAGCTTTGGGGGCAGACCTCGCCGACTTTTCTGACTTCTGGCCGGTGGCAAGCGACAAATGCTGTCAAACTCCTGCGGGTGCGGGGAGTGAGTTGTCACTCTTTGCTTTTCGTGCGCCCAAAAAGCAAAGAAGCTGAACCTAGTGATGCGAACACATGGGGTTCCTTAAATGGATACATTTGGGCCACACAAATGGGGGATCCCCTTGAATTTTTGTTTGGGTAAACTTGAAAAACTCGCGCTAGAACCCCCTCGCTTTGCGTAGGATCCTTCACACGGGAGTTAACCAATCGAGGGCTTCGGTCTCGAAGCAGCGAGTTGGAGGGCTGTCCTTTGAACCTCACTGCCCCATAGGTGCACTTTTGGGAAAACAAATGGCAATGGTACATGGAACAAAGTCCATCTAACCAAACTAACCTAAGAAGGACACCTGCGCACTGCCCCAGGAACAATCCGGCCGATGTTCATCGCAAAGTGTCCGATTCAAGAGTGCCAGATCTTGCGAGGGGAGGGGTGCGGAATACCCTAACGCAAAGATGGAATAACTAATCGGGGGTCAACATTGATCTAGGGAACACTTCCCCATTCTTTCCAGGGATCCTTCTTTCCAGAAAACCATCAGAACACCAGGGGAAACAGCTGGTTTGTGAAAAGAACGATGGTTCAACAGAATGGGGAATGACCCCCCAAGAATGCTTGGCGGTTTGGTCGCCTCAGAATTGTCACCTCGGTTTTTTGGCACCATTTTAAGTCAAGAGGCCCACAAGGGGTGGGCAAAGAGGCAAGATGGTTGACAAGACTAGGCTGGAATTAGAACCCCAGCAAAAAAATATCTTTTTTGCCTGGCCCAAAAAAGCAAAAAGGGGAGCTAATTCTGGGGAAGAAGAATGGTTGGAATCAACCCCTAGGCTTGAACCTGACCTGGGGGAACCGAAAGCTGGCACCACCGGCGGGAACGGAGCTCTCCCGGTCAAAACCCCCCCCCAAAAAAAAAAACGCGCCGCGGCAAACAGCAGCCCTAAGTTTTTTGTGTTTTGTGTTTTTTCTCTTGTCATTTTTTAAAACGCCCTGGGAAAATTTAGGCACATTTCCGGATAAACCCGTGCTATTTTGAACCATTCTGGATCATTCCTCAAGGGTGTAATCCCAGGGTGTAATACAAAAACCCTCAAAGCAGCACGCGGTGAATCTAAAATATGCCGTGGAACCCGCCATGCTCACAGGGACTTTCACGCCTACTTTCGTGTCTGGCATCTTGCCGCCCGCTTCCTTCACATGCACAAACCTCAAGCAATGTTTCTTCCGCGGCCAGTTTATGGGACGAAGGAACCCCAAAAGCGACTTAAGTCCGAAACTTGGTTGACGTTGGAAAGGGAGCAAAAACATAAGGTCATTGTTTAGCAGTTAAGTGCTTGGATTTAAGACACCAAACTAAACCACAATGCTTCCCAACAACCATGGAAACGGATTTGAGCTTTGCACGATTTTTTTCGCTCATCTCCCGTGCCAGTCATGCCAGTCATCGGCTCCTGAGGTTGGACTTGGGCGCCATGCAGCCTGAAATGACCGGTCAAAGGCCTGCAAGGAATCAGGGTCAAAACGGGCCCTGGTTTAGCTTCCATTGGCTTCAGCCTCGGAAAAAAATGAGGATTTATCCTGATTAGAGTTAGGCCCAGTTGTAGAATATATTTTTATTCTTTGCTTCACTTTGAGTCACTGGTAAAAGGGTAAAATGTATCCTAAGTCTACACAGGTTATGTCCAGTAGTGATAGAGCCCCAAACCCCCAAAAAAAAGAAGAAGTGCAACTAAAACATATTCTTAAGCAAATGGAAGTCGGGAGAACGCGTCTAAAGTTGGCAAGGAGGGGGGTCCCTGTCGTCCCGGTCGAAACTCAAAAAACAAAAAACAAAAACAACAACATTGTCCGCCCTTTGTCCAGTCCACGCCCACGCATCCCTGGCTGGTTCCTGGCTGGTGCCCCTACGCGGGAAGCAAACGACCAACTGTCTTGGCTGGTGCACATCATTTCAGATGCGCCAAGCCGCCATTGGTGATCAAACCTGTTGCTTCAAGGCGAAATTGAGTCATGCTCAAAACCCAGCATTAAAATGGTCTACCCAGAACCATGTAAAGAATTAAGCAGGCGGCCCTAGCTATTTCTGGTTGGGAGTATCCCTTGCTAACCTTCACAAGTCTTGACAAGGACTCTTTTGGCCCGAAAATGCAGCCTTTCAGATGGATGCTCGAGTAAAATCAACTCGCTGCCGTCAAATCTGTTGATCCCTCTCCCATGTAGTCATTTGGTATGCGACATCTCTTCATCCGGCAAGTGCTCTCCCTCCGTGACGCCTACAAATAGCCATCTTGCTTACAACCGTTTTCCAACAAATAGGCCCAACAAGCTTCCCCTCCGCCCTTGCAAGCCCCCAGAAGCTATAAACTGGCTTTGCATGCCACTATGATTCAAGTACAACAATTATGTCAAACAAGCAGCCCTCTTCTCTTGCCAACAAGATTCCCTCCCCTTACCTCTCAACAAGGTCTCCTCCCTAATACCTCTCAAAAAGGTCTTCTGCCCTGACCTCTCAACATGATTGGATTTCGGCTTCCCTCTCTCCCTCCCTTGCTTCGTTCCTTCTTTCCTTCCTTCCTCCCTCCCTCCCTTCCGTCCTTCCTTCCTGTGGAGGGGATATATGTTTGCTCACCCATCGATCCCACATTTGGGTCTAATGTTGCGAGTCCCACCGCACAAAACTCAATGATTCTGGTACATCCCTCCCGTGATGCGTTTCATTGTTTTCTGTGGCAGGATCCAAATGCTCTGAAATTCAGCAGCCTTCATTATGAGGGCTGAGGCGTATTAAGCCCTTAGTAAAGCCTTCAGCCTTATCACTTGGGGCTTCTTTGGGCTTCCCCTCCCCTTCCCTCCCAACCAGGCCCCATGAATTCATGTGCGTGAACGCGACGCGAACCGGCGGGGATCCCGACGGTATGGTATTGCTTGTCCTGAGCAAGCCCAGGACAAGCACTCAGCATGCGTCCATTGCTTCAGCTTCCTGAAACCAGTGACCCGGAAAAAGTTGATTGGAGCAGATTTGAAGGGGGGAATCCAAGGAACAAGTCGGCTAGCCAAGGAATCAACATCGATCTCCCCACGAAAAGGGCTCCCCCAACAATAGACGCCTACACTTCTCGCTGCGAGATCCCTAACGGCCCCACCCTGATTTTCGTAGGGACAAGCAACACTTTAACAAGACGGTCAAATCAAGTACATCTGGAGACGCTATTGGAGACGCGGACGCGCGTCAAGGGTGAGAACGGGGGCCGGGGTCCAAGTCCCTGTTCAAAAGGGATTTGTGTGTCTATTTTAAGGAATTTGAAACCCTCCAAGATGGTGATCCAGCTTTCCTTTTGGATTCCCTTTACCACCAAAAAACAGATACCCTCCAAAAACCGTATGGGCGACGTGGATCCAGAAGAAAGGCCTTGATCAATAATTCCGCCCGGGGTTGCGCCAGATTAAGTCTGTGCTCAAGATCTTTCTGGGCATACCCATTTACAGGCGCGATGGATTCGGTACGTCAGGTGAGTGGTTAGTTGGCCTGGTCATAACCAGACTTACTAACCAGCTACCAAGTACCCTGCCCCTTGAAGTATGATCAAATTATGTCTGCATGTTTTGTGTAAACGCGTGCCAGTAGATCAGTTCCTGGTTGA